AAACGATTCATGAATTTTGATTGACTATAGCGGTCACGCGTGATTGACATCTCTGACTCCGCTCTTATGGCAACGTCTGTTGATCTCCAAGTTACCTCACCAACCTTGACCGGCATGCCTAGCCAAATACGGCACCAATCATCGCAGACCAATGGTTACAGGCTGCGCTGCACTCTGAATACGAGCACAGACTCCTGCGGGGCGATACATTATTTGATGATTTGATCGATTTTTCGGTGACAAGGCAGATAACGCGGCACAGCTATGCATGCCGTTATCCGCTCCGCCCACATATCACGGCATTTTGCCAAGCATAATGCATAATGATGCATTAATGATGGACAGTGGTGTCATGTCTTGTTTGTCTTTGTAGCCAGACCCCTTCGTAGCTGTCTATTCGCTGCATCAAACAACTTCGCTGAGGCTTCCAACTCCTCCGCCGGTATCTGGGGACACCCTGGGCGTGAAAACACGTCATGCACCTCACGCAAAGCAGCAGCCAAGCGCTTCGATGTCATCGGCGTACGCTCCAGATGTTGTGCCTTGCCTAGCAGTCTCGTGGGACTGTTGCTGCCTGGGCCTAAAATACATTTGCGGGGTCAGATCATTAGGGTGATGCCATAATTAAATGATGGGAAATCGCTCGCTTGATTCTACCCCCGATATTCTAGCGGGTCTCAGCACTGCGTCCGGTGTTTCAGGTACTGCACGACGATTGCATCAATTCCACGACATGACGTTAACATTCGGAATCTGAGATAGTGACTTACCAATCTCATCATTCTCCTTCAGCTCCCGGATGACCCTGGGCACAAACGGCCTCTCAGGTGTAATTTCCGATGTGTGATCATCTAGGTCATTCCTCTGTTGTTGCCCGCTCTTTTTCCTCCCTGATTCTGCCGCCCGGAGGCGCAAAAGTTCGCGGAGAGGCACAACTTCGACGCACTCCATGATCATTCTTTGACGCAGTGAAGACCGCGGCGTTGAAAGTGAGCGAGGTCCTGAGACAATAGGCGAAGACACGCATGAACGTGGCTCTGATTGAGTACATGCCCTATCGTTGGTCGAAGCTATTGCACGATGGCGCTTGGCCAATGGCATGTCTTGTGGTAGGTGGCGCTTTCTCAGAGCAGGGCTATCATAAGGACTGATAGACTCCCGTGAGTTGTGACTTGCACTTGACGACCCTTGAACAACTCCTGGGACAAATCTTGGATGAGATGAGGTGCCTAGCGCCGCGTGTGAGATGTCACATTGGGAGTCTGGGATAACTTCGTGCTACGATTCCACAGAAGATCTCTTTCACAAAAGTCCAAGGATGCGGGACACGAATGATTACCTCTATGGACCATAAATGTGGAGTATGCTCTCCGGCAACCCTCCAGACCGCAGGTGACACCGGTACCTCCATCGTCAACTGACCGTCCATTTGGAATTGGGTCTGCGTTTGCGAGGTCGAGCTAAGCAGAGGCATGCCCGATGGCCACTCTCCGCCGTGGGCGCGCACATAGGCATCGATGCACACCCGCAGGTCATTGTTATATGCGTTGGGTGATGCAGCAAGACGCGCATGTTCTACCTCGAAGAAGCGTATAAACGCAGTCGGACCCAGCGCTGGCGGAATAATGCGCGAAAATACCGCGGTGAGGAGCGGGGCGAGGGCATTGAGAGACGTGATAGATAGGGGAAGCAACTGTAGACGTGTGAGGAGTGAATCATAGACGGGCATGAGCTGCGAAAAAGTAGACTAAGTGGGAGGCATGGAGGCAAAAATGAAAGATTACGAACGAGGTCGTTGTATTGATCTACTGACAAAGATACACAATCGTCTTCCATCCAAACGGCCAGCCCAGTCTGTACGGCGAAGACAGCTGGTTCAAGCAGACAGACAGGAACGGATACGATCATGCGATGGAAGACCTTGATGAGCTCGCAAGTTGTATCGATTGTGCTTGGTTGTGGCGGATAGGAAGCAGTGAGGATCATATTTAGATAAGATAGCGTTCTAGTTGGGATTGAATCTCCTTCGTTGAGGTTGAGGCGCCGGAGGATGGCAAGAGCGACGCCCAAGGCAGTATTTACTGGAAAGCTATACCAAGTCCATGTCAATAAGTAGAGAGATAACACCGCTAACATACCTCGGGCCAATCACTGGACATTTACTGGTTATGTCGTCGACAATGTCAACTGTCTTAGGAGACGTGTCCATTGCTGAGAAATGCCGCTCAAGCGCTCGTTCCCAGATGTCGAGATCATCTTCTGACATGCTCCAGGTACTACGGTTCATCATATGGTGCGTGAGAACAATTTTGAAGCGAGAGTCGTATCCGCTCACCCAAGAGGAAACACCAGGACTGAAACGAGATACTGCGGGCAGCTAGATATTGAACGATCGCTGTGCGTTGCCACCAGGCGCCAAAGCTGCCTCTTGATTTCCAGGGCACGGTTAGACTCGTCCTGGTGCGAGATAGACTTGAGCGCGTTCAGAATCCCAGCTGCAATTAGAGTTGAGCACAACTGACTCCAATTTGCGAGGACTTCCTGATCAGCAAGATAAAATGTGCGCTGCAAAATTGCCGCCAGGAAAGAGGAAGCGACCGGAGCGAGCCATGGTTGTGAAAAGGTGTTCTGGACCACGATCCAAAGTTGTTTAGATATCACGAGCGACTGTACTTGAACTTTGATCGCCTTTGCTTCTCCAGGCAGAGGGACCCAAGGCTCAGGGAGGAGTTGTGAAAGTAAGGAAGACAATTGGGAACCAAAATCGACGGACGCGGTGGGTCGACTATCTCCCTGTGTAGGCTGGGCCTGGACAAGTAGGAGGGACTGCCATACAGGGAGGACGGTAGTCTGCGACGATATATGAATGAAAAGCCCACTGGGAAATAACGGATGTTACCCACCGCCAGTTTGGCTTCATCGTCATCAAAACAGGTTTGGACGACCAAAACAAAACAGGACGATATTTGGCGCCAGTTTGCCAGAATCTCTTCCTGGGACAGACACCTTGGCGAGAAATTTTTCGTTGGACGTACTATTTCATCGACTTGGAGTTTATCTGCACGAAGGAGCGACCCGTCAAAGAGGAATTGAGATAGCAAGGTATCCGTGGTCCAGTTGCTCTCGCGCTGTGTATTGCTGGTTGGTCCAACTCCACGCGTGAGACATCCAAGCATCCTGCATCCCTCGTCTCGGATGTCCTGGTACTTGCTGGACAACATATCATGAATAACGTCGGTTACACTAGGGATAACCCATCCCAGTGCACATTCGTTCTTAAAATCTGTGGAGGTTGGGTCCAGCAGCGGGGTGATTAGAGCCGCGCCGAGGCCACCGTGCAACGCTTGCTTGAGTACCAGAACGCAGCGCTTGACAATGTCTATGTCTCCCTTTTCAGTCGAGATTCGTTGAATATAAAGCTCGGTCATCGACCAGATGAATGTACGCCAAACGTGAGGGTAGAGATCACGCCCAGATCGATGTCTTAGAGCTTTCTGCGCCGTGTTCATGACAAGCTTGAGAGCTCCCTGGTGTAAAAAGAGCGAGGGTCCAAGCAGGACGGCGAAGCTTGCCACGAGAGTTAATGCCCAAGAAGAATTCTTGCCCATACTTCCGAAATTCTTCGATGACACCGCTGCGTCGAGCAGAGGAGGGAGCTTTCGGGACGATGTGGGGTGACGTGTGGTTTCAGGCGTAAGGAACGAATGGGTATGAAGGCATATTGTTTCTATTGTATTTTTGCCAATGAGTGTTCGATGCGTGATGAGCGTGTGGGAAAGTGATGCGAGAACCACAGCTGCATGATGGCGAAGCTCTGACGATGCGTGCATGACAAGGGGAAAAACAGAAGGAAGGAGATCTGCTAGTCGTGCTACGAAAACGTGTTGGTGGAATGTCAGAAAGTTAACGATACACTTGAAAGAATGAGTTAGCTGGACTATGTTGCAGAGATTATCGACTCACATCAAGTGCGTCCACTACGGTTACAATGACAACACGGGTATCTCTAACTGCGGCTTCGAGAATAAGCTTAAGGTATAAAATAACGTCTTCCATCCGAGGTAGCAGGACATCTTTGGGAAGCTTTTGCGTCCGGACTACCCAAGACGAGAGAATAGTGGTCTTTGATACACTGAAGGATGGAAACTGAGAACGGCGAATGATAGAAATAACATCTCCCAGGAGAAGGCTAAGGTCGTGTGCTGGTGGCACCGTGAGAGCAGTTCCCAGATCGATGGTGAATGCGGGACGTACACGTGAACAAAGATGAAAGGGCCGGTAATCTAAATATCTCTGACAAGAGACGAAGCGCGTAATGGCATAAAATCGAAAAATCCGTCGTATGATTTGCGTAATGCGTCGTCAGCTCACAGCCAACAGTTTCTGCGGTAGGAGCAGTCGAATTGTCGGATGACTGCCATGTTGAAATACGTAGAGCTCGCGAGATATCTCTCCGCAAGGCGGCCACTACATCGGCGCCCTTATCTCTGAGCGATTCGAGCGCTGGAAAGGCGTCTGACACGGTGGAAAGGTGATCAGACGAATCTCGAATTCTCATAGAAAGGGCACGGTATGCTTCTGCGAGGTCATGGAGAGATAGATGGCCGGATGCGAGAGCTCGTCGCGAGCAGACGATGGTTTCGATGGGTCCTAGGAGGTATTGGGAGAGGTATAAGGGGTTGCTATCGGTTAGAGGCATGGACATGAACGAGAATAGTGGGTCTTGAGTCTCTGCGTGTGAATCAGAGGATTGTTATTTCGAACAATAGAACAGAGACTGACTGGTCAAAGGGGGCGATGCTGCCACTTTGCTTCAGCATGTATGCGTCGCGTTAAGTCGTTAAGACAGCGCGACAAACGAACCAACGCAATCGCCCCTTAGCGTATATCACATGACCGTGACAGCCGTTTTCAGGAACGAAGCGCTGTTTCGTAATCTTTTGCTTGTCATGGTGCATTGTCCTGCCCGCCATATGGTACAATCAAATATTTTTACATGTGGTCTTGTAGTGTAGTGGTTATCACCCGGGATTTTGATTACTCTACTGGTGTGACCAGATGTGAAATTTCCCGAAACCCAGGTTCGAACCCTGGCAAGACCTTCTTTGAGGGGAATTTTTTCCACGCCCCAGGGCCCGAGAGCAAGCAAGACATACAAAGTTATGAGATATTTTAGGACCTGTCCTGCAGTCACATTATTTTGCCTCATGGGCTTCTTACGATGACGGCCGTAATGGTTTTTGTAATCGATGCCACTCTGGGGTCCTTACCACTGTGGTGGGCGTGCGTCAGCGTAAGTTAGAGTATGCGCGGCTACCACAAGTATCCACGTCACAGCGAAATGCAGCCAAGTGCGCAGTCTTTGCTTTGAAATACGCTGACAGCTTCGGATCTGAGATTCTGACTCGGAGGTACACCATCCTCAACATTCTTCATAGAATACTGTACACGCAACCACATCCCGTCGAACAACAGACCATATCACAACGTATCTCACAGATCCTGGCACTTGTGTCCGGAGAACCCACTAGTAGCGCGTAATGAACAACGGGCCATACCTCAGTTGCTGAGCGAAGTGTTCTGAGGAAAATAGAAATATCGATTATAAGTTACCCTCGTTGACTTGCCCGGTACAGTAATTACCGACCATGTGCCTATGTAAAACCGAAGAATGGCTGAGTAAACAAGTTCGAATTATATTACAGATCATATTGCAGTAAATTGTTCATAAAGGTTCTCGTCTCGTCGCGAACAAGTGTCCAATAAAGAATACAGCGTCCCAATTGTACAGTGTCCAGTGCAGTGTCAGGTCAGAAATTGTCATGAGAGCATGGGATGTCATCTTGGTAAGATAACGAATATCGTATCTCATTTCGCCTACGCGGTGATTGTGAATTCGTTGCTGATATTACCCGAGTCACCGATAACTGTCAATACCGGTAGCGTAAGGGTCGCGGGAAAGGACAAAGATAGAAGCAAACATGAGATACGCACGAGCAACAATATAATTATCATTCGGTTCGACTTTCGGGACCGTGATTGTGACTGACCCAGCGGCCAACTGAAAATTTTGAGCCAGAGGATTATCTAAGGTGTCGTATGGTATGATAAGCGAGAATAGAACACGCGTTCGAACTAAATCAACTGACCAACATCGAGATTCTCGCCTCCCGAACCATCGGCGTTCAAATACCCAAGCAGAAGGGTCCCTATGGGGTTCGTGACCTGCGAAGGTGGGTTTGACGTGTCCCTATCACACAAACATATCAGAACATTGGTCGACATTGAAGCTATAAGAGCCTCAGCCCCGGTGGGCTCTTTCGACGTACCATGTAACTGTCTGATCCGAACCAATTTTCCAAATCGTCCCCGTAGTCGGATTAATGACTGGCGGTGCCCAAACGTCTCTCTCGGATAGGGAGCTGAGGACAATGGGGGCGGCGGACGCCGACATGCTAATGGCCAAAGAAAAGAGGAGTGCAACAGGGGATATGAAAATCATTAAGGTCCGTGAGTCCGAAGACGTTTAGCAATGGGTGTGGAGGAGCAAAAAGGAGAATACGAGTAGAGGTAGTGGTAGTGGTAGGGTGCAGAAGAGAGGGATGAGGTAGGGGGATTGGAGGATGAGAGTGCGGAGAATGGGTTGGCACCTCCTCCTTAAGTACGCTTAGGCAAGAACAAGTTCCGATTACGGACGCTTCCTAAATGCCCTGAGACCCGGGTACTGTATTAACTGAGTGTGACCACACTAGCACCGAATCGGTGATAATAGACGAAACACGGTCCAACTTTAGTCGAGTCCACCGGGTAAAATTAGCATGCCGCGGCCGAAAGACCGCATCACGTCGACAGAGGCGGAGAACCACCTTCCACATTCTGTTTGAAACGGGGCACCATCTGCACAGCAACAATGCCGAGAACATTCTACCGGGTATTGAACCTTCCATGCTGAGGCATCCTGTGGAGCGGCTGTTGGATACTGTATGAACTGCGACATCACGAGGCCGCTTGCGTAATCCGGTGGCCGGGACGGAGGAGCAGCGCGAGCAGCGGTGGGCCGGTGGCAGCTGAGCGCTGAGCGCTGAGCGCCGCGCCGATCGATCACTAATCAGCTGAACCCGCAAAGTCACAGCTCGGCTCGCCTTACGCTTGTGAGCATCGACGTACACTTAGATGAATCAAAGGATTTCCCAATGAATTTTGACCACTACAATTATGCAGGTAGTAGATAAAGAAACCGTCATGGAGAGTGGAGAGTGGAGACAGACAGCTCACTGTGAGCAAAGAGAGTGAAAGAGAAGTGAGAGACAAAACACAATCTCTGCAAACTAAAGGGAGCGAGTGACAAGGAAACAATGCGGATGCTGATGCGGGACAAACCAACCAGATATCACAGTGACAATGATACAAACTACATGAAGGATATTCACTCTTTGCTCAAACTCAGCGCGCACATGCTTTCCTCGAGCACAGCCCTAAGGCCACACCCTTTCGAGGATTCCTGCGTTGTTGCGTCATTGGGTAGAGTATGGGTGGGTGGTGAGACTGGGGAAGCGCGTACATCCACCTCTGGCTCGACGTCGACGACGCTTACAACTGCTTTCCCTTCGAGGACACGTCGTATTTTGTCCGTGTCCCAAGTTGGAGTACCATCGTTAGGAGATGCTCCATTTGATGGCAATTGCGTCATGAAGGCCTGCCAGAAAGCGCTACCGAGCTGCTGAAGAAGCGTCTGCGACGCCATACTTGCAAGCAGAGCTTGTTGCGGCGTCGGCAGTTCATTCGCGGGTGTGAACGGAGGAGTCGTGGGGCCGAGCTTCGGTGATGAGGGTGGCGACGGATAGCTGGAAGTATGCTTTCCGCTGAGGACAGAGGACACAGAGGAGGTGGGAGCATGTGGCGATGGGAAATACTGGGGATGCGAGGCAGTAGGCGATGACTGCAGTTGAGATTGCGTCGGTGGGTATTGGGCAAAGCGACTCCGGAGTTGCATTCGATACCTAAAAAGATAGTAAAGAGGTGTTTTTATGAGATAAGGATGATACTCACGCATCGAGCATCTTCATTGAGAGCGGATTCGCATCAGCATAGGAGTCGGATGGGGTAGCCTTGGAGAGGCTAGCGAAGGCGTTCGCAGGTAAGCCGGGATTTCCGAGATTAAGTAATGGATTGATGTTTTCCTGGAGTATATGACTATATGCGCGCGCTCTGGCCAGCGATTTAACGCTCGCGAGTGGTTGTGCAAAGTTCTCAGGAATAAGTGTCGTGTGAACGGGGGTAACGCCGCCAAAGGAAGCACTTCCTCCCCAAAACGCTTTGGCAGGTGACGCAGCGAGACGAGGCGACGATGGTAGATCCTTTTGAGTGTTCGGGGTCACAAGTGAGGAAGATGTACGGGTAGCGGGGGCGGGGATGGGACCTGGAGGTGGCAGTGCGGGGGACTCGGCCCGGCCCCTGCCTGCAGAAGCGAGGAGAGCTTTCTTGAGGGCACCGATTTCCTGCCTCAACGCAGCATTCTCCGACTGGCTGGAGCCGAGCTCCGTGCGGATAGCATCGATGAGACGATCACGTTCTGCAATGTCCCCTTCAAGCGTCGTTATGTACTCTGGTATTGATTTCTTAAGCTATAGTAGTCACAGAAAGGTGATTATCTCACCCTTGCGGCGCACTCGGAAGTTACGAGCACTGATTTTGTTACGAAGCTGACGTTTTTCCTTGCTTGACATTTTCTTGTATTCCTCCGGTGAGGGACGCCAATCATCGCCATCGTCTCTCGGCTCATCTTTATCCCTCACGACTGCCGATACCGGTGCCTTCTTCTGGATACCGCCAGACTGGACAACGCCCTTCCGAGACTTGCCCTTGCCGCCGACTTTAACAAGTGGGTTTGTGATCGTTTCCTCTTCCTCGTCCTCTTCCTCGCGCATTTTCACTGCTAGATCCTTCATCTCTACGAGGTCATGTGAGGATACCGGTGGCACCGAGCTCGACATGAGTTGTGGATCGATTGCAAAAGAAGGGGAAAGCCCGCTTCCTGTGGCCGTACTTCCAGAGTCGGGACTATCATTCGAAAGTGTGAGGAAATCCCAAGGGCCACCGGTGACTGGTGGTGGTGTGGAATGGTCGGTTTTGACAAAGTCTTCCTCGAGAGAGAAGTTGAACCAGTCGGAGGGGTTTGATTCGGATATAATAGGTAGAGGGGAGAAGAGTGGAGTAGAGATCGAAGGGGAGGGCTCACGGGAGCCGGAGGTCGTGGAGCTTTGAGTAGTGAACAGGTCCATGTTCACAAAGTCCGATAGGTCGGTGGGGCTGGGAGGGACGGATGATTGGTGCATAAGGTTACCCACCGACATGATAGTAGGTTAAAAGGAAGTAAATTTCTGGGTGCGAAGTTGCTGTGGGATGAGGAGAGGGAAGACAGGTGGGAAAGATGGATGAGTGAGGAAGACAACTAAAGTGCCCATCACTGACACGCATGACATAAGCAGCCACGGCGGCCCCCGACTTGCCTCGACTGATGACACTGACTCGGCCTTCTTTCTCCTTCTGCACTTTTCTCTCCTCAGGCTCTGCTGCGCCCGCCACCAGTGTGTCTTCTGCCACCCGCTGTCACTGCTCTTGCCAATCTGATGTCACAATGTCTGCACCTGTCCCAAGATCGATAATTTCGGCAACGTGGCCTCCTCCACTCAGCCTGCAGGCACACCCCTCTCCGGTTATCAAGATAATGTGGACTTCTCTTAATGTCATCTTGATGCACGACACGCCCCAACTGTGATAGACGTAGCAAACTGGGGACACCTTCAACGTACAGGTGCCACTCGATCATATTTTCTGATATCAACGTTCAATGTACTTTCTTTCCATAGAGAGTTCGCCCGTTTCCCTCTAGCTCTCTAGAGTTGCTATATCTCGGTTTCCCCCCACTTTCCAGTGATAGTAGAACGGATCGACTTGAAGTTCGGAGATCCTGTGCCGATGCGCAGCAAATCATCTTACCTCGCCCATATGTCTGTCAGATTCCGTAATAGGTCTTTGTAAACGATCAATGGTTGTCTCTTACTGAGGTAAGCGCCCCAGCGGTTGTACAGTACACTACTAT